TACCCTATGCTATGCCTAAATGCTTGCTTATCAGTTAAGTTAAGTGGCTGCGGATGATATGTGAAGTGGCTGCAAATGAAGCGTGAAATGGGTGAAATTGAAACCGATCAGCTGCATCCTCCCCAAAAACACTTGCTTTTGATCCAGCAATGTTACGCGTGTGATTGCGTCCCATTGCCGATGTCTCTAAGGCAAACCCCCCACAGCTTCCGGTGGAACCAACCTACGTATCCTTTACACTGGCCTCTTCAAACTAAATGAAAGAAATTCAGCATAAATCTGTTAAGAGATTCTTTGAAACCCAGTTTTTCTACTAATCTCGTTCCAGTTTGTATATTGATCAAAATGTTTCTTTGGATTTTTAGTTGAGTAAATCATTATTTATTCGATGCTTTTTACACCTCAGTTTATCCCTTACAATAATCTCCATGTATAGCCACTGCTCCTCCAAACTCTTCCATTCGGCGACTAAGCAAGCTATGCTCGGACCTTAAAAGCCCACTCGATTCTGATGGAGATGGCATATCCTGGCTCAACGTGGAAGCCGATAATGACCTTGCTGATACCCCCCTTTTTCATGCAGTTTCGCTGCGCACTCGTGCTAAACGGAAGATATCTGGTGTCGCTAAAGCTCGAGGTAGGGGTGCCAGAGCTCATTCCCGAAACAAAGGTCGAGTTATACGTTCAGATTTGCTACTGCCTCGAGTTCCTAGTCCTTTACCGAATTTCTCTTTCTCTGCTTCCGAGTCGAAGATAGAAGATATATTACTTCTTTCACAAAAAAAATCGATCGAAAGCAGACCATTTGAGGTTAGTATCCAGACTTATCCATGACTAAAAAATCATACACAATTTTTAGAAGATAAGCTATCATTACTCTCTTTCGGCCAGCCTATAAATGATTATTCCTGATACCATACTTAGTTAATCTACTTATTGCATCTACTTCTTGATGAGTTATTTAAAGCTTTCGAAAGACGGACAAAACTAATTGCTAATGCTGTCGAGCTAATTTTAGCTTGAGCCTCTGTTGCATTGTTCGGTGCCAATGTATCGAATCTGCCTCTATCCAATGATGTACAATTCTCGAACTTTTATTATTTGCGGCAAA